ACAAGGAAATGTTTTGAGAGATATTGTTAATGGTTTCAGAGACAAATGGGGTTTCCCCCAGTGTGTCGGAGCCATTGATGGCACCCATGTGCCCATGATAGCACCTCGCAAAACAAAGGCTGATTTCTACAATCACAAGGGTTATTATTCAGTACTGTTGTAGGCTGTTGTGGACCATAAGCTGCAGTTTTGGGATATTAATGTTGGATGGCCTGGAAAAGCGCATGATGCATGTGTTTTTGCAAATTCTAGCCTTTTTAGAAAAGGACAGTCTGGGAGGCTTTTTCTAGCATGGACTGAGGATTTTCAAGGTGTACCTGTACCATTAACAACCATAGGTGATGCTGCTTACCCTCTTTTGCCATGGTTACAGAAGCCATTTGCAGAAGGGCAAGGTCTCACTCAAGCTGAACAACAGTACAACTACAGATTAAGCCGAGCAAGAATGTGCGTTGAATGTACTTTTGGTAGACTAAAAGCTCTCTGACGATGTTTGCTGAAGAGGAATGATCACAGCACCAACGGCATCAACACAGTGATTGCTGCTTGTTGAACTTTGCACAATATATGTGAGAGCAGAGGTGAAGCATTGGAGCCAAATCTCATTGATGACAATGACAACGAAACAGAAATAGCCAACACAGAAGAGGATGAACCTATTGCAGATGATGTAACTGGACAAGACATATGCAGAGCACTAGCTTTAAAGTTGACCTAATACAAATTGATGGGAATTCTAAAATGGAAATATGTTAGTGTTTATTATCTTAAAAATAATCTTAATTTCTTACATTTTTTGTTATATGTAATTTTGAATATATGTAAATTAATGAATGTTCAGCAGTTCCTTTGGCAAAACATTTTTTTTCTTTCTATGTAATAAAAGCAAACTTGTTTCCCCCCATGATAAATACTGATAAAAATGTTACGTAATTATTATTAAATAAAAGCCTGCACTGCTTAAACTGTTGTAAAGCACTTTATTGGCACAGCACATACTACAGTAAAATTGCAAAACATAAATAGTTTGTCAAAATACTGCATATTATCAAAAAATATAGGACTTTAACAACAAAATAAAAATGTATACAAAAAAACTTATTTCATAGAATATAACAGAAACATTCTTAAAATAAAAACATTATTAGCTGGTTATAAGGCAGTATTAAAAGATTAAACAATTGTAAAAAACTGAAGTATTATAAAGTGCACAGATATTTGAACTGTCAAACGTTTAACTATTCAGAACTGTGGTAAACCATTACTTATGAGCAGTACCCTCTGTAGAAACAAAACTAATTGTCTGGCCATGTGTATTAGCAAGTGAAAAAAGTATTTCTCTCAAGAACAAACAACTTCTTTAGAACAAAAACAACAATCAAGGAAAATTCAAAAGTTGTTCAACTCATGCAAGACAGAAGACAGTGTCTGCTCACTACTGCTGACACTACTGGCTTCTTGGGTAGTAACTGTAGAACTTGGTTAGTGTATTTCACTCAAATTATGATAAGATGGTTCTTCGTTTGGATGGGTTTGAGAGACCATTTGATCGGGGAACGATTGTGTGTGCATAGGTGGAAAAGTGGGATTTACAGCTGCGCTCATCACTTGACATAGCATCCTCATCATAGCCTGATCATGTTCTATCTATCTGTGCACGGTGTCGCCTCTCTTCCATTTCCATTTGGAGCCTGTAACGCTCTCATTCCAGCTCCAATTCTCTCTGGTGCCGTTCCTCTTCTCTCAGCAAAAAAAGCTTGTGGTCTTTCTTCTGCTGTTTGATGACTGACGAAATCAAAGTGGTAACTTGCTGTAGAGAACTTTTTCTCTCATCTTGGTTGGATTTGGTACCCTTTCTCTTTGCTTCAACTGGATGACTGCTTGAAGTCTCTTCAGCATTGATATCTACTGCAGACACATGAATGCTTGAACTGGAACTTTCATCCATAATGCTGCTGTTGTCATCATTCTCTAATGAAAGATGATATGCACAATAGTTAGGGCAAAATATAGGCAACAAAAATACATTTGATAGAACTTGTTCATGTTACACATCTATTTCTTGTGGCATATTGTTTACTAGAAATTACATTTTATTTAATATGTCTTTAAAACACATGAATGAAATGCCAACAATAAGTACATTTAGTTTACATTTACATTTAGTCATTTAGCAGACGGTTTTATCCAAAGAGACTTACAAATGAGGACAATAAAAGCAGTCAAAACTAACAAAAGAGCAACAATATATATGTGCAAATGACAAGTCTCGGTTAGCCTAACGCAGTACACGTAGCAAGGTGTACATA